AATGAGAGCACAGGGTGCCCCGCGATGTGCAGCACCGTGCCTGGGCTCCCCACGCTGTCCTTCCAGCTGCAGGGCTGCCAGGGTGAAGGAGACGCTCCTGGGTTCACGTCTCCAACCAAGCCAGTGCTGCCTTGCCCAACCCCACCCCTTCTCATGTCCTTCCGCTGTTTAATGTGTCGGCCTGGGAAGAGCTACAAGGTGAGGAGTTGCCTGGGGAGCAGCAGCAGATCCTGGCCCTGTGGGCTGGGGGAGCTCCTCTGCTTCTCTTTTGAAGAGAAACTGAAAAGACTCCACAGGGCCAACACAGCCTGTCACAGCTTGGCGGTGGGGACATGGCTGTGGTGCAAACCCAAGAAAGAGAAGGGGACAGAACCCATCACCCCATCTGGAGCTGGCAGCCTGGCATGGCAGCACCAGCCTCCATCGTGTGAGGCTGCTGCCAACGTCACCCTTTGCTGCCCACGCAGTTTGTGGGGCAGAGGGGATGGGGACTGTGTCCCTGCTTTCATCCCCTGCCTGAGGGGGAGCCCTGGGCAGGCGGGTGGGTGCAGCAGGCCCTGGTGGGCAGGTGAGGAGTGCTGGGACAGGGATCCCCACTGAAGGAACAGGGTGCTCAGCGTGGTGTGGGGCTGTCTCCAGGCACCCCCACCGGAGTTTTCTCTGCTCTCATCCACGTGGTGAGTTTCAGGCTGTGAGCAAAGGCCAGCGAGAGGCCAGCGAGAGGCGGCTGGGAGAGGCCCCTTAGCAAGCCCTCATTTCCATACAATTGAGGGAAGGTGGCTTTGCCCCGGCACTCCCAGCCAGGGACATAAGCCATTCATTGTCCCCTCTGCCCTGCTATGCGTGACTCCAAGGCTGGGGCACCACTGCAGCTGGCCACATGGCAGCACAGGACCCGTGCCAAGGATAGATTCCTGCATGGGATGGACAGACAGCAGCCCCCAGTCCTGCTATGGCATCACCACAGAAGAAGATTAAAACCAGTTTAATTAGTGTCCAGTTACGCAAATTGAGCCCATCACCATTAGACACAGGGAAGGTACAACTGGTGGGACACACGCAGCACCCGCTGTCCCTGGGGCAGCGAGTGGCACAGGGTCCCTCTGCCCCTGCACACTGAGAGCCACTGTGTCCCACAGGCTCAGGGTAGCAGAACGTGCCCTGTGCCTTGCTGGGGCTGAGACACTTCGCAGCCCAGGGGCCATGGGGTGAACCACTCTCCCTTGGGCAGGGATCACAATGACATCAGGCTGCTGCCCTTTGGGGATGTTACTGCCCAGCCACAAGGAAATATTTTGTTCTTGCTCCATAAAAGACATCTGTATGTCCCTCCTCACTGGCAGGGACCCAGCTTGGGGGAAGAAGTCCAGCAGCTCTGCAAGAGGCAACAGCACAGGATGGGGACAGCACAGGGACAAAGATGCCCTCTCCTCCAGGTTCAGAGTCTCTCCCCTGAGTATCCTTGCTTCTGCCCTGCCCAAGGCCAGGGAGGCCACTTACCAAACCATCCTGGCAGGTCCACAGACCCCCGCACAGCCTCCACCTCAGTCCCCAGTGCCTTGCCATCAAAGCAGAGCTCAATTCACTGGAGAAACCGGTGCCAGCTGCAGGAATGCATTTCATCTCTGGCCAGCTGACGCATGGCAATTCCCAGCAGCCACCCCAGTTTTGGGCTAGAAGTGACCTATTTACATAAGGCAAGCTCTCCACAAGCCCAGGGCTGGTGCAGCATCTCACAGGGGCAGCTGTGGGGAAGAAGCAGGAGCAGATGCCTGGGGCCAGGGCCCAGCCAGGCTGGACCATTTGCTGTCTCTCACCAGCCCCTGCAAAGCCCCCGGTGCAGGGTTAGGCCTAGCATGTTGCAGCCAACCCTGGGTGATGGTCTTGCTAGGGCTGGGCTGGCAGGAAAAGGTGGGTCCTCTCGGAACATCAGGAAGCAGACAGGGAGGAGACCAGACACAGGGGAGCCTTGAGGAACAGAGACGTGCGCTCAGCATTGTCCTCCATGGAGCAGAGGCCGCAGCAACCGCAGAGCGTGGTGTCCCTGCCAGGGCACAGGTTGTCCCAGCTCCTGTCCCCTCACCCGGCTGCAGGGCTGCTCTGCGGAGGTGCCTCTGGCTCAGGGTTCCCCAGAACAGCTCAGGGAGCCAGCCCAGCTGCCCTTCCCAGTGCTCCTGCTGGCACAGCCAGCACCAGTGGGAAGGGACCAGAGCTGTGGGGAGCCGTGTTCAGAGCACACAGAGCAAGGGCAGGATTCATCCCTGGAAGGTAAATGCTTTCTGCAGAGGCAGAAGCACCAGTTCCCATGGCATAGATCTCCAGTCTGCTGGAGGTTTTCTCTCACAAGGGCATGTAGACCAGGCTGCTTCATCACCACCCTGCTGCCAGCCCTGGCCGGGAGGGTCATCTCCAGAGCTTCTGCCTCCAAGGTCAGCCTGGTGCCACAGCAACAGAGGAAAAACAAGAACAAAAAAGCCCTTGCGTCTCTTCCCCAGCCCAGATGCTGCTCTCCCGTTATTCCATCACTATCCTTCACCATGGCCCAACACCAGGGTGAGCACACACCCCCTCCCCAGCCCCACACCCTGCTCATCCCAGTCCTGTCCTCTGAGAAGCCCAGGCACAGGGCTGAGGGGCAGCTCGGCTGTTTGCAGGGACCGTGGGAACCCTGTTCCCACCCCAGCACGTCCCAGGCTGGCAGTTACACAACTGCCTTTCCACAAACACAAGGAATTGCTCAGAAGGATTTGTGCAGAACAGCATAGAAGGAAAACAAACCTGCTCTTGAACTTTGCAAGATAGTATGTCATTCAGAGGGACTTGCATCTGGGTCACCCACTCTTCAACCTTCAAGGACATGGTGCAAGCAAGCGATTTTTCCTCCTGACATTTTGCTCTTATATCCTTTAAAGCAACTAATGAAAAAAGTCTCCTCTGTCACCACTCCCCCACTCCCACTGCTGCAGCCCAGGAAGTTCCCAGTCATCTTGTTGTTGCTTTGCAGCACTGGCACAGCCTCTCTTAATCCTCAGACAATATTGGCAAAAGGATTTTATCAGCACAGGCCAGAGCCCGCAGAGGCAGGTCCCCCCACCTTCCTACAGCAGCACCAGTTCCACCTGGGGTTATTATTACACATGGACACTCAAATGCTCCAGGTCTGGCTGCTGACACCACACTGCTCTGAGACCAGGTCTAGACCAAGCTCACCCTGCTGGCAGCGTTTCTGCCAAGGCAACTCCCTGCCTGTACCCCGGGCCCTGTCTGCAGGCAGCAAAACAAAGAAGACTTGTTCTGGAGGCAGCTTGCATCAGAGCAAATGCGATTGTTCTCATCGGATTTTATGAATTCCCTCCAGAGTTCCTACGTAACACAAGTACATTAGGGGGACTTTATCCCTGCTAATTTCAGACCACAAAGTCAAACCGTGTGTATCAGATGAGTCTGCACAGGCAGGCTTACTCATAAGCGGCAGCAGTGATAGGCGACCGCAGCGCCTGCCAAGAGGCTCATCATTAGCTCCTTAGCAGAGGGCATTGCATCCTAAACTGGGGAACTGAAAAGGAAACATCATCTTGCAGCCACGGCCCCTCTCCCTGTGCCGGGCACATCTCAGGAACAGCAGGCAGGAATGTTGCTGATGGATGCTTAAAGCATTTTGTAGTTGAGAGTGTCAAGAATAAATGGCCCCATCCTTCCCCTCCCTGTGGTTTTTTGCAGCCACTACCAGGAGCAGCTCGAGGGGTGCCCAGAGGGCCCTGTCAGCCGCACCCAGCACTGCACACTCACCCAGCAGCAACAAAGGGCCTGTTCAGGCTGGACAAGCCCATCTCCAGGGAAAATAGCCCATGGGCTGGCATAAAATAGCGAAGTGACTGCAAGATATAAAACTACCTATTTAACATGGACATCAGTTTGCACCTGAACACTGTGGAACAAAAAACCAAACCAACCAAACCAACAAAAAAACCCACCACAGAAAACCAAAATCAGACCAAAAGCCACCACACTCATGTTGTATAAGCAAAGGTAAAAAAACCTCTTCAAAATGTACACAGGAGCACAGGAGAGCCATCAGAGACTTTGATCAGGAAAACTTGATAGCAACTGCTGGGGAATATGAAACTGAAGCTGCACGGCTACAGGCAACTGAAGAGGGTGACCTTCCACCAGCAGATCTGCAGCCTTCCTGTCACATCCCACCTCTCCTCAGCATGCTTGCAGACTAAGTATGGGCCAGGGGGATGATTCACCTGACTCTTCTGCACAAACTGACTTGCTTATCCTGGGCATCTGTAACAAGAACATCCCCACACTTACCTCAGTACTTCCACACCGTTTTCTCCTGCACTATCATGATGACATAAAAGCTTCATAAGGGGAGAAGTCATTTATCTAAAAATAAATATCTGTTCCTCTTAAAAGAGACAGTGGTTTAGAGTTACTCTGTTATTTCTCTTACTCACTGCCCTCTCACTTTCTGATGCTTCCCAAGTAAGACTTTAAGCTGCTTAGGATACCTTTCAGGCCCTGCAGCTCTGCCCCAGTCGCTGCCACTGCAGCTAATCCTGGACAAATTTTACATGTTTGGCCTTAGTGTGGGTTAAAGACTGTCTATAGCTCTCTAGAAACAGGTTAAACAGCATAAGATCTAGTTACAAGACCCTGAAACAAGAAACAGGTTGTTGGAGAATTTAAGTGCAAGTTCTCACTTATCATCAGTCATCATTCTGGCCAGAAAGGACCTCCAGAGGCCTCTTACAACCATTTGGTCCTTCTGAGCAATCTTTACCCCATCTCAGCCTCTCCTCCAAGGGCAGGTGCTCCAAAAAACAGCCCTCTGCTGGACTGTCTCATCACTCTTGATGGGAGGCCCACATGCTATCCCACACAGTCTCACGAAGTAGGTAAGCCTGGCTGTTCACACGCTGCTTTTGCATTGCACCAGAGATCTGAGCTTCACCTCCTCCTCAGCCACCAGTAAACAACAGAAGCATCACTTACAACGACCAAAAAGAATTTTATTGGAACATATACACACAGGGATAACAGAGGTATCTGAGTAATCAAATATGGAATGTTTAAGAAAGTTAAAATAAATAAGGATACCAAGTTTTGCCAGTGCTAGGTCCAGCACCAATATAAGTAAATGCCCTCTGAACAAGTCTGACTCTGACAGGACCATCCCTGCAGAGCCTGTAAAGATTCCTACCACCAGAAAGTGGCCAATAATTTTGGAATACAAAGAGTCACAATAGTGCTTTCTACTGATGTGCATTCACACTGTTTATTCACTGCTTTCGTCTCTTATTTCTTTAATAATATCTATTAAATTCTGAAGTCCAAAAACATAGCCCGTGTCTTGGCCCTCATGCACCACACTATCTTCTCCATAGTACTTGCAGGTTGTGTGGGCAAAGTCTATCATACGGACATCGACAGTACTGGCAGTTGGTTTGTAGGCATAGGCTCCTGCTGACTCATCTGAAGATTCCTCTGAAAGGTCCTCTAGGTCCTCTGGGTCCGAGTCAACAGCAACTTCCTGCCTTTCCTTTCCATCATAAATGATCAGCAAGGAGCTTGAATAGAAGCGGTAAGACTCCTGTTTCTCTAGGACAGACTTGAGTTCAGTCAGTTTTTTAATAACGGACTCAAAGAGTTCCCTGCGCAGGTATTTGCCATTATGAAAGAACTGGTAAAGTGCTTCTTTAAATCCTTGGACTGAGAGTTTTCTTCCGTGGTATTTATTCATGAACATCAGCTGGCCAGTGCCTGCCTGGTAGACCTGCATATACAAACACAAGAGAAAAGGAATAGTTAAAATTGCTGGTGATACTGACTCAAAGCCTTGAGGGGACAAAAAAAAATTTTAAAAAAAGAAAAAACATGTTACAGAAAACTTTTACAAGATGACATATTACTTGCTAAAATTGCTCTTCCACAATTACACAAACTGCTAACAACAGAACTTGGAACTTGGAGGAAGTGGAAAATTCCTTCAGTTCAGATTTGAGCTTTTCCAGCAGGAATGTAAGACTGAGGACTTTAAATGAGATTAGGAAAGCTGCAGCCCACATCTCCAAAGTCAAGCTACAACCTGTACCACAGCCACTAATTCAGCTCATTACTTGCCTCTGCCCTAGGATGTACCAGGTGACTGCCAGCATGCTGAGATCTGAGTGACAGCAAACACTTCTACACAAAACTAAGCTGTGCTCCATATTCATCTGCATTTAAATAAGTCCAAAGTGCTCCTGCAGGAAGATGTCTTCCCATAGGAGAGTGGTCTATATACCTCATAGCTCAACAATGCTCAAACATCTGGGTCAAGGACTGCAGGTGCTTCCAGAGTTCCTCTCTGTTTTCCAGCACAGGTCAATACTGGAAAGTGAACAATGAGCAGGCTCAAATCCCAGCACACTGTGGTCATAAATGCAGCTCCCACACTTTCATTTCTGCCTCTTGTTTTTCTCCCAAGTTAAACAGTGAGCATGTGAACCACACATGCCAACAGTCATGCTACGGAACAAGTCCTAGCAAACACTGCTAGCATTCCTGGAATCTACTGGATGGGAGGAGAGAGGCTTCAGAAAAGCCTCAAACACAAACATGTTGTTTTCAATTTCTCATTCACATGTCAAAGTAAACAAAAAATTTCAGGTGAAAGTTCATGTAACTGTCCCCTCATCTGGCCACGAGTCTTATCACATTGACCAAGCACTTCTCACCTGCACTTTGTAACAAGTCGACTTCAAGCAGTGAAAGATCTGTGGCTTTTCAAAGTCTACAAGACAGAACCGATTGCTTCTTACTATTCTAGCAAACTTCCACATGCTTCATTCAAAATTCACGTACTGGCAGACCCTCCTTTAAACTGTTCCCTATGCTATCCTGAAATGTTAATAGTATCAGTAATTTTGCTGTGGTTTTAAATTGCTGATATTGTGCAGGAGACTGTGCTCAGACTGCACTCACTGATGCAGAGCATAGGCTGCAAGTTGCTCCTGCAGATGCTGCCACCTTCAACTCATCAGGGATACCCAAAAGCCTCATTCCCCTCTGTGAAGGACAGCACCTCAAGGGCAGCAACTCATGGGATTAGTACATAAGCCAAAAACCCCACTAACAGAAATGGGTGTAAGCCTGTTGCCCCACACATGGCCAGTTTTCCCCTCACCTGCATGCCACAAACTCGCACCCCAATCACAGCCGATGTGCTCTGCTGACACTTGCGGATCTGATTTGCCTTCTTCTCTTCCGACGCGTCGTCCCCGTGCTGCCGCGTTCCCATCTTAAGGTCCAACACGCACGGCACTTCATATCGGGATGTCAGGTTTTCCAGCAAAATGAATTCTGATTAGTTAAGGAACAATCCTCACAGCAAGGGATACAGGTTTTAAAAACCTTATCACAGATTTTAGTGCCCCAGTCTTAACTTTAAGCATAGCCAAAACATGCCCTATCAAAATTTGCAGTTACATAAACTCACATATCCACTATGCCAGTTCCAGTTTTACTGGTCTCTGGAGAAGACTAGTGAATTTCCACATTAAGTGAAAAACAAAAGTAATCAGGGCTATACAGAAACGTAACCTGGCAGCTGACTTTGAATTATGAAGTGTTTCATGTTCAGCAAGAGGATTTGTTTCTGTGGCAAATGAAGATTTTGTGTGCTTCTGTTACCATTCAAAACTAGTGAAGCATTTTCACACCACCTCTAAAATACAGAACTCAAAAAAACACTTCAAAACATCTGTACTGATGCTGTTCCAAAGATATCACACATTTCTTAGGCAACTGAATAATCATTTACAGTGAAATGGTGAGGGTATCAGCCAGAAAATGCTTTCTGTTGAACAGTTTATTAGTCACAGATGTTTTAGTAATCCATTCACTGAAAGTCCTCACACGTGAGGAATTTGTTTACCTAAGTATATAGATACTTTTGCAGGATGTATCAGTGGCATCCAAGCATGCACACAGCAAGATCTTTTTTCCATAGAGTGCTCAGGGTGGAGATGTTTGTCTACAGTTCCACAGCACAAAACCAGTGTGCTTCAGCTTTCATGGATTCGGTCACTGTTTTTCTTTCTCATGCTCCAGCCCTATGTGACAGTTTATATTCAGCCTTTTTTTTTTTTTTTTTACCAAAAAGGTTCACTAAAAAAAGGGTTCTAGTAGCAGAAAACTCTAGGTATTGGAACATCCTCTATATTTAAGAAACTACTAAAAAGGGAAAGAGGATACTGGTTTTTAAGATCATGTAAACAGTAATAAAAAGCAAAAGAACTCTTCTTTGAAAGCTCTCGATAGAAAACTATTTTTGGGGAAAACTTTAAACACAGTATGCTGTAAAACCTGTCCACTAACTAACCCACAAGTTGTAGATATTAATTCAGTTATCTGAGTTTCCCAGACTAGCTACTTTATCACATGCTGGAAAAGCCCATTTCTAGAAAGCACTGGCAATCCCTTCAAAGCCGCCAAATAAATCACAGCTTCAGAGTGTCTCTCAGGACCACAGTTAAGCCTGCTCTGTACTTTTATCTGGCGTGTTCAAGAAATAAAAGGCAGAGCCCTACTCATTCCATTGTTATGAGGTATTTTCAGGAAAGGATACTGTATTGGTTTCGGTGTTTTGCGTTTTCCTTCATCCGCTGTAATTGTTGCTGGTGACATTTCATGCTCCAAGGATTATGGTGTTTAAACTGAGAACTGACATTTCCTTTTTTCTCTACAGTATAATACAAGACTTCAGATTTCTTCAGCCACTCAAATTCTTCCTCCAATTTGTGACTAGAAAAACAGAACAAAGCAGCAAATTACAGGTCAAGTAGAAAAATAAACTTTTGAAAGGGGTTGTCAGTGGATTTAACTTTACAAGCTGTTTTGCTCACCTTCACTAACAGCTAGCAAAAGCTTTATTTTGCTCCCTGTACAAATGGACAAGATGCCCATCAGTAATATCTCAACCTTTATAAAGCTACTTCCATACTAATACAAATTAGCATGTAGCCAAATGTTACAAAACATGTAATAATTCTACTTATATATCCTTCACCTGTGTGAATTACTTCTGTGAAGTAATGCAAGAGGTAGTGATGTGCTTTAAGGTTTATCCTTTGCTAAGGTCACTGTTTCTAGCACAACAATCACAGCTCACAGTTCACGGTGGGCACAATTAACAGAAATGTCACTAACAGGGCTGAAGCAGGATTCCTACAAAGGTATCCCATACACAGTAACACTGAGATATGCTTGGGATTGATTGGGTTTTTCTATAGCTATTGTGCCTTTGCAGGTGGGTGGAAGTTTTTTGTTTGTGGGCTCTCATTTTTTCTCCTTTCTGAAGCTTCAAAATAACACTGAGAAGCCTGTTTCAACTGACCACTGCAGAAAAAAAAATGAAAAGACTGAACATGCTACTGGACTGAGGACATACTAGTTTCACTACTGAACCTGTCTGCACTGAAGAGATCAGGAAAAACAAAAGAAACAAGAGAAGAAAAGAAAATGAAAGTGAAAGAGTTCTGGAGAATTCTCTGAAAGTCTGAGGACCAGAACTGGGCAGCAAAAAATATTTTGCTTCAAGGCTCTGCATTCCAGTTCCCCCTGTCAAACTCACCTTTTCATTTTCTCCTCTTTCCTGTGCTGCCGGACCCATTCCTTAGATATCTTCTCATTTTCTAATAACATTGTTTTTTTGTTAGTCCATCTCAACAGTTTACTTTTGGGTTCGCAGTCAGAGTTATCTAAGTTTTCTAAGTTATCGTGGTCCCCATTTAGTGGATATGCTATTAGACATAAGTTTCCATCTTCGTCCTCTTCAAAGCTCACCGACACCACACCTGAAGAGAGAAAGGACCTGGACAGTTATGAATTGCTCAAGTGACAAGCAAGCCTTTTAGAACACATTATTTTACACTAAGAATACAGCAACTTTATTTTTTCTCTTACCCTGGTCCTTAGTTTCTATCTTGCCACAGGCCAAACCTCATCTGCCAACCTAACAAATATCAAAAGAGCTAGACAAAAATGACACCTCACAAAAGACAATTTATCATATTGACAAAACAATGATACAGAAGGTCATTTTCTTTCTCTGAGGCAGTCAAGTAAGAATCAAATAATAACAGGACACAATTTCAATTAAGAAAATTTTTTATTAATTTAAAAAAACTGACTGGTCTGATTCTAAGTGAGATGTAAAACATTTGTTAACATCTTGCAGTGAAAAGTGACCTGCACAAAAAAAACTTACACCAAAACCTTTTAAGTTTTGCATGACAGCAAAGCAAAAAGGAACTTAACCAAACAATAACTGGTTACTAGATCCCCAGGGGAAAGATGTGCAAGTAGAGCAAAACAAGGAAAATGTCACATTACAACAGAAACTAATCCAAAAACTTCCACTTAGAATCACCATGCTTAATTATACATTTTCTTCTCTTTTTTTGGAATATACTTTATTGATACTGGTTATGCGGCAATCTTGTGAAATAAGTAACAAAAATGCAATACAAAACAAATCTGTTTGTGGTACAGAAACACGGTGAACCTTGAAAGCATTTGTTCTCCTCATGCTCCCCTCAGGAGTCTCTAGAGCACTGCACTGTGCTTTAAGGGTCCTAGTGGAACGCTCTGACAGATGCACTGAGTGCTACATGAGCAAGTTTCGGGGGTTAATGAAGAAGCAGCATCCATTGTCTGGACTGGGTTTTATTTTGTTTTTCAGTCCTCTCTTTATTCTCAGATCAATCAGTCTGCACAGTTCTTGCAGCTCATCACTAACTATGGGAGAGGTCTCGGTGAGAGACTGCAACTTCTGAGCTGGCCAGGCAAGTCCCAGACCTACAGTGGCTGGAACAGGGAATGCAGAAGCTCTGACAGTCCTGCTGTCACAAAGGAAAGGACAATGGGGAAAAAGCAGGAGAAGGGAAGGGAGGGGGAACCAGCTAGCAAATGGTTTTGGCTTTACACTAGAAAAAAAATAATAGCGAGGGACCAAGTGAGACCCCTAAATCCCTCCCCACACTTCCCGGAAAGCCACATACACTAGTACAATTGTTCTATTACATTTTGAGAAGTATCATTCAAAGACCATATTTTCTTGCAGTCCAACAGAACTTGTAATTAGACATGTCAAAAAGTCTCTGTAAGTGAGCAGGGAGTATTAACTCTGAAACATCTCTGAAGTCTTCCACCACTTTGACAAACAGTATGCAAAACTTCATCATCATTATGGCTGTTAAAATCAATGTGCTTTAAAAAGCAACTCCATTTAAAAAAGTGCTTCAGACATATTATTTATTAATCACCAGGCAGCAGTTGATGAAGTAGGAAAGAGAAAGAGTGTTCCTGTTAACTAGTGCAATTCTTAGGAGAACTGGAATTTCCACTCCTACATAACTTCTGACTCAGCCTCATCATGGCTACTTGATCCTTGCCTACCTAAATGCCATGAATTTTCATTTCCTTAGTGGCAGAAACAATACTCCAAGCATTCAACAAGACACCTTACTGACATGTATTTATTGCAATCAAAACGAAAGTCAGAAGAGAAATCCAAAACTGAAAGAGACCACAACTAAGCTTGCACAAAACACTGCCATACAATCTTATCAAATCCCTTGTAAACAAACATTAAACAAGTGGCCAAAAAAAAATAATTTAGAAATCCACACAAAAAAAGCAGCAGATAGTTACTGAAAACATTCTCAAGCTGTTAGCTACTTACCTGTGCCTAAGGGAGATATATGGGCTATCACCAGCAGAGTTGCTCTACTCTAATGCTGTTAGTCAGCATAAACACCAACTTGGCAAGCATTTCCACCCTGCATCTCCACAGCCTGCCTCAGACAACATCAAAATACATGAAAAGGAACCCCTAAAATCTCCTCCATACAGAAGAGATTTCAGAGAGAACACAGCACAGCACGCTTGCATTCACAGCAACAAAAAGCCCAACCCCATTCAAAGGTTGGTGACTTACCCTCATATTGTGGAGTGAATTTACGCATTTCTGTTGGGAGAGTCTCATAGAACTGGTGTTCCCTCTGAATAAGGGGTTTACAGATGGTCTTGTCATTAAACCGGAGGACACAGGAGTGTCCTCCAACCTGGTGGACAAAAGGCTCCAGCAGGACTCCCTTGGAATAGTGCTCCACTTCCATAGCTCCAAACGCTGGGCTCATCCTTGTAGCACATTAGACAGAAGGCGGCGACAGCAGTGAAGGCAGTTGGGAGCCTGACGCCTCCGAGCCCGTTGGTTGCGTTTGTTGCGGCTGCCGAGTCTGCTGAGGCAAACAGAGGAGAGCGGCGGCTCGGTCGGTGCCGGCGGGGCCGAGGACGCGCCGCTCGCGCTCCGGACGGGCCGACTGAGGGCGCGCGGGGGGCGCCGCCGGCCAGGCTCGCGCGGACACGCCCCCCCGCGCGCCGCGTCCAATGGGAGGCCGCGCGAGACGCGCGCGCGGGGCGGGGCAGCGGTTCCTTAAAGGGAAACCCACCCGCCGTCATTCCCGGCGGGTCCCAGCGATCCCAACCGCCCCCCCGCCGCTCCCGCGCTCAGCCGGGGATTAACACCGAGCGTACAGTTCCTCCCTTCCAAATCCTCACAGCAACCAGCCTGGACTCTCATTTCACCAGTTTATTCACAACAACGTGTCAAACGCCGAAAATATTACACAGATGCAAACTCTCCAGAGGAACACAGTAACGCAAATGTGCCATTTCCCAAGAATTTATTTTCGCGTGCATCCAGCAGAAGGCAGCGCTCCGTGCCAGCTGCATCCCAAGGATCTGTACTGTACCCTGTGACCGCACGCTGCTCAGCCCTGGCCCGCCGCCAGGGTCACGCAACCTGCACTTCAATAGCAATTAAAGGAGCGAGGCTGAAAAACAAAACATGACTGTCTTGGTCTCTGCCTTCCAGTAAATTTTTAAGTCGAGTTACTCTAATTTTAGACCAAGGCTTTAATCATTAACTTTTTGCGGCTAAAAACAACCTCATACTTATTTTGCCTGAAGATCATTACACGAACAATAATGCACTTAATTCAAAGAGACTACAAAGTGTTCTAGGTCACGGGTCTATTTTTATTTGTCCTCCTTAGATATTTAACAGCTTTACATTAACTGGAAAAGCAGAGACCTGCGGGCTTAGAGCAGCAGCGCTACCAAAACTACAGACGCCCACAGCATGCCCTGGACATAAGAGCATTAATTGAATTAAACAACTAAACTGCTTAAAGAAACAACAGGTCGATCAAGTGAATGAACTCCAGCTCCTGGAATGTTTACCCGCACCTAAGGATAACAGGTCAATAAGAGTTGAGTGTGTTTGCGTTGCTGGTTTTTGGTTGGTTTTTTGGGGTTTGCCTTTTTTTTTTTTCCCCTCACTGCACACACCAGTTAGGCTTTTTTTATCTGCTTTTTTCCAAGCACCTTATTTGACAAAACGTTATCAGCTTCTTTTAAAAAACAAACAAACATTTTTTAATACAGAAAACAAAACTCAGACCAACTCTGCAAGAGAATGAATGTAAAATTGAATCTGGAATAGTGTTTCCCAGAAACAGTACTCTCTTCTGATACTCTACATTTTAAGATTAGAGCAAGATCAGTAAAGTTTCACTCTCTCTTTGTACTACTTTTAATTTCCTAGTAATTTTTTATACTGCAGCTACTGCACCCCCAGCCAATTTTCTCACCTACCTCAACACCAACAACGTGACAACCCAGAGACACACAGGTCTCAGTTCCACCCCAGAAAGCCACTTCCAAACCCCTATTTAACTGCACGAAGCTGAGCAAGGCAGCGTGGAAAAGCCATTTGCCTTGGCCTTGACTGACACTGTCAGTGTTCTGGAGGCACAGATTTGCTCGATGGCTCCCCACAGTACCACCCCCTCCGTGCAGAGCCACAGGCTCCTCCTGTAAGGCTCCACTGCAAGTTGAGTTACCAGCATGTGTAACACACTTGGAGCCTGGACCATACACACACACCTAACAAGCCATATTAGCTCCTCAGTAAGCCCTGACTGAGTTGCTTCCATTTTCTAGTACAAAAATTTTAAGCATCAGTCTGTGTTTGTGTAATGCACCAGTAATTTTATAACTCTTTTTCATTAGGATTTTCTAGAGCCAACAATGCCTCCAGTCTTCTGGAATTTCCCAGGGAAGGCCAGAAGTGTGCCAGGTTTCACTGGAGGCACGGCAACACACGTACATGATCTTGCAGTGCCAGAGCTTTACACTGGCACAGTCACTTTTAGCAGCCTCACAGAACATCAGCAGTACAAGACCACTCTTCCCAAGACAGCATTACCATTCCATGGCAACCTTCCTAATTACCCTGATGTACAGACACCAATTTCCAGCTGCAGTTATTCAAACTGAGAAAGTACCTTGCAACATCCCTTAACCTCCAACATCTAGTTTGCCCCATTCCCCCCTTTGCATCAGAGTTGCATCAGGAGTGAAGCCCTGAAGATGTTTACGCCACAGAAATTACTCTCTAGCAAAAATCACCTCCAAGACAAACAACGCACAACACCTTGTTTACCCAACACATCTTCAGGGAGCTCATTAGTAGCAGCTCAACTTGTTTGCTTTCATGTATGCCCAAGTGGTCTGGACAACACTTGGACTGGATCACCACATTCACTCAGCCGTGAAATTGCTGAGCACAGTATTGCACAGGACTACTCGTGCTACTTCACCTTTTCCTGGAAAAGTGAGATCTGGCAGCACATCACACAGTCTAACTTCCCATTCGAGCTATAAAAAAGCAAGGTTTTTTTATTGCTTTGATATTATAAAAATATAAGTTATGGAATATTTAGATAGGGTTGGGTTTGGTTGGTTTTTTGTTTTGTTGGGGGTTTTTTTTGAGAGAGAAATGTTAGAAATATCTATACAGTCACAATGTACCTAGTCTGCACTACCATAAGACAAATGCGAATCTACCAGACATAAAGGGGGAAGCTCACACAAGTAAAGGTGAGTTTACTGTGTCTGTATTAGTAAGCTCTGCTTCTATTTTTATCTTCCAAGGCCACGGTGCAACTCCCACATGTTCCATTTCTACGACAAGATTTCTGTAGTACGAATCCCTGCTGAAAAAGCTCTATTAATAAAGCTCTGCAGTACAAACTGTGTGCAAGGCACTGCTGAGCTGAGCGTCAGCAAGGAATTCCTTGCTATACACCCCTTAACCGAGCTCCATAATTGTGCAAAGCCATTTACTGCCTTCTTATAAACCTAACACATGTATATGATCTGAACAGAGCAACAGTGCTCAACAAGGCAGCAGCAAGCCCACACAATCTTTTCCACAATTTAGGTTTCAATGAAACTTTAGTTTTCACTTTGAACAATTCATATATTTTAGCCTTTCAAGATACACAGTGTTTACCTAATAAATTAGTTTTCACCTAATGAAATTCTTCTTGCTTGCAACAAGATTTGGAGCAAGCTGTTAAGTTTTTTTTCTGCTGTGTGCTGTAACATTACCACTACAAACAATCAGGATTTGTTTGTCATTTTGGCTCTCCTCAATATTTGGAATCTTGCCATTCAGATTAACAACAGGACCTGGAGCACAACTGTAATGCCCATCAGAAATACTTTGTACTGTTTCATTTATAAATATCTTAATTCCATAACAGCCTCACAGTATGCCAAATTGGTTGCACTTCCTTAGAAATAAAAGCTTTGACCTAAGACCAAGAGCTTCAAGTGGCATTGATGTTGACCAGCACAAGCACAATGCAGTTTTTCACTGCCTTTCCTCTGATTCTACACCCAGTTTGTTCTCAATGCTCTTTGGGTAAGAAAGGGCCCAGAACAGCTGTTTTTAGGCAATCTTCTCAGATACCAAACGCAGACTCTGAGTACCCTGCCCTTTTCTTCCTATGTGCTTTTAAGTGCCTTTGGCTAAGAGTTTTTGTTCAAAGGACACATCAGTCAAAAAAAGCAGATTTACTAATCCTTCACGTGTCAAGCATTTTAAGAGAAAAATGTGACATAACTCGAAGGAAGCAAACAAAAATGTGTCTAGACACAGTAACATTAGCTGGAGCAATGTCATTCTTACAGTAAGCAGCAAAAGATGTTTAAAACCCAAACCTGCAAACCAGAAGTGACATAGATAGACATCTTATTCCCATCACGTGTGACAATGACCATCGAGAGAATACCGCAATGAACTCATGTTTTCAGACTCTTAACATTAATCCCAGGTGACGACATTCTTTGGAAGGTATTTCATGTCATTACAGATCCTCAACTTAAGTCCCACACGTAATTGCATTAATGAACACATCCTCTGGAGAGTACAGCTCTCAATTAAGCAGCAGCTCCTTCCTTCATAACAATCTCAAAATTAACACCTCTTCCAAAAACTTTATAATAGCAGAACTACAGATGCAGAGCTGCCCTTCTAGCCAACCTGTTAAAACTGGGTTCTCTCTAGTGCAGACTTTTGATTTTGAGTGGTCAGTATCTGCAACTCCAAATAGCCATAAATCAGCTTTACAGTGACAGAAATAGCAAGGCAGCAAAGCTTTCTGCCTGTCCTTTTTTCTCAGTTCACTGGGCAGTGCAAAGAGGAAGCTGACAGGGTAGAGATCTGCAGAGCAGAGCTTGCTGCAGGGTGCTATAACCCTGCTGAACCAGACAAAGCAAAGCCCCTTCCGGAGGTTCCAAGGAAACAGAGGATTGGCACAGTCAGCCAACAGGAGAGAAAGAGTATAAGTGATCCATTAGAGCAGCCAAAGAGAAAGCTGCCTCAACCCAAAGAACATTCAGGAAGAAACAATATCAGCTGAAAAAGGACACAGGAAGATGCAAATATCAAGGTGGAAAACATATGGTGTGTTTTTGAAATCCCATCCACCACCTGTTACATGAACAAAACTGAGAAGGTACCTCAGGTCTGAGTTAGTAAATCATCACAAAACTCAAAGATAACGACCCTTCAGGACAGGATAAACATACTTTGAGAACCTACAATACACCTATCAAACAGGAATTTTACAAGTCCTCATATGACAGAACTACATGTCCCACTACTAATAATGTGTTATTTTACAAACAGCAAGGTACGTTCCTTGAATCAAAGAAAGCAGAGGATGCAACATCAGAATATTAAAAGCATTAGATATATTAAGTGTGCTTAGGGTCAAAGTTCTTGCACAGCTTGTGATTCATTTTGATGAAAATCAATGTCATTCTTCTACACAAAGTACTATTTTATTAGCAAATTTGCCCAGTCTAACATTGTCAAGGAGTTGCTTCTAACATTCACTGTGGCTACTGCTCGGCTCAGGAACTGAAGGTTACTCTGGTGTGCTCTGTTCCAGAAGTTCTTAAGATTAGAATGGCAATAGTCATGTCCTCCAGTGTCCAGTCAGCTGCCGTGGAACAATATCAGAAATACAAAATTACATTTTAAAGATGACCTGCATAAGATTAGAGAGCAAACCCTGTACAATAGCTAGGTTTAACTCTTAACAGAAAAAAGACCTCTGCACGCATTTATCACAACTGTTTTAATCGATTCCTAATTTTGAGGATGCATTATACCTCTAAATATAATGCAAGTCCCACACTAGGATGCTTTCTGAAGCCTTTTCCACCTACAGTAGTAGTAATATAACTAAGCAATAAAAGCTGTAGTTTCTAACTTTTTAACTCATTAAGATAGAGATGAAGAGCTCATGTAATAATGTCCTTGTATGAATCCTGGTTTTGGAAAAAGTCTTAAGAGAAGCCTTAAATTCTGCCCAATTACAGAAAGCAAACACTTATTCTGGTAACTAATTTTGAGGAAAAAGGTTATCTTCAGTTGAAGAGTGCGCTGACATTGTTGAGTCTCCGACTTTTTTTAGTTATCAACAAAAAACTGGCCCCTAAACAGCAAGTAATTAAAATTCAATACAGCAGACTTAGTAGCCTTCAACGTCGTGGGGGGACGAGGAACAGTGTCACAGTATCAAGGGAGAGGAAAGACTAAAGTTTTTCTTTAAAATTAAGACTAGAGGGGGAGAAAAAAAAAATCTTTTTTCATGAAATATAACTTTAAACCAAGTGGTTGTGATGAAAAAAGGATGAAAAACTTTCTACGCAAGTCAAGGTTATTTAAGCTCTTCTGCAGCAAATCAATCAACGTGATGATCATTAAGTTACCTTTACATGACTTGTACTCAGAGATGAGTAAGCATGACGTTTTGTAAAAATACTCAGCAGAAGACTTGCAAACTCAAGAGTAAGATACCAACTCCTTCGTACCTACATATTGGGACTATGTGTGCATTCCATTTCCAAGCAGGAATACTTTTGCTGTAGCCTTTAGTGGTAAATCATCCTGGGAGTCAGGCACTGTAAGTGGCATGTCTGCCATAACCACCTACAGACACAAAAAGCCAAGAAAGCATATTCTTCATGTTGAAGGTAGGGTGCTTGGGCTAAACCAACAAAATAAGCCACCTGCTTGTTAAAAATGTTGGTATAATGTAATTTTATCTTTATTTTTTTAATTTATCTTTACTAAATGGCTAGTAATTGCAGCACCACATTGCTCTGGTTAAGAAAAATTAAGTAATTTCTCCATAAAAAAGGAAAAAAAATTCCTTGAATTCTTTACTTCATCACATAAAACAGACTGAATCTAGAAACCCAGAACTATACATGAACTCATGCACAAAGTTTCTACAAAACATGTTTGCAAAACCCTTTTGGAACGTGTCTCGGCTAACTCAATAGCAGTCTTGGCCCATCAAGGTAGAAATCTAATCCTATTTTCAACATCAGACTGTGAACAAAATATTCCCACCAAGAAAGAATGCATTTTGCCACTTTCAAACTGCAGAAAAATATCCTGAAATGCCCTCGGTTCTTCTGAGGATGTCAGGTGTGTCACACCTAAGGGTACCAGATCTTTTTCCCCTCTGAAAGGAGAGGGACAGTCCAACAGTGGCTAACACGGTCAGGTTAAGAGATGTCTTTGCACCTGTAAATTTAACACCAGAGCTGCAGAGCCACCTCCTATTCCAAAAAGACTTTTGAATACAACCTTAACAGGCAGAACTAATTATGAAACATTAGGCATAACACATTAAGGGAGCAAACTATAAACAAAACAATCTGAAGTTGCATAATGTCCTGTCATTACTACTCCTCAAGCACAATCATTATCCCTATCTTCCTTAAACCAGGTCTACATTATTAGGAGAAACCCAGTTCCCCAGTCCTTTTGTCTAGGCCAAGGCAAGGCAAGCCACTAAGGCAATCTCCAAGAACTTCCACCTTTTTAACAGAAGCAGGCACAGCAGCCCCTCATTGCCATTTCTTAAACCTCAGCAAGGAGGTTAAATGCTCACTATAACCAATATTTCAACATCCAAAAAAGCAGCAGCTTTCAGCTTTCCCTACACCATTTGTAATCTGTAAGCTTAACACCTACATACACGAAGTTCTGGAGAAATGCCAGTTTTACCTCTCAAGTAAAGCTATTTTATCTCCCTGGAACTAAAATAAAACCAAGTTACAAGTTACTGAGCATATTCAGCCACAAAAGAGCATGCAATTCTGACCCATGCAGTTTTTCAGGGATTGTGTAATTTAAGAACTAGCCTCTTTTCCAAGTAAAAATGCTATGGAAACTAAGAAACCTGAACCACCAAAACTAAGCTACTTAAACTTCCTATTTAGATACTGATCCATCTTAAAACAGTATTCTGGCATCAGTGGCTAAAAACACCAGTTGCTATGAAAAGACAATACCGCCCTTTGTCGTGGAGAAACCGAAATAGCCTTCAGCCTTTAATCTTCTGAAAATATGACAGCAAGAGCTAAACTGTGTGGATTACACACATGAAAGTATTATTCAAGACACCAACACCCTCAGAAATTCCAGCGCTGAGATTAAAATAAATCCAAGGCTATGCCTTTCTCATTACCATGAATTTAGCAGTCTGGGAACTGTATTTCCAGCCACTCAATAAAAGAACACGGAATCTTTTTGACTGGCCCTTCAGTTGTGACCCATTTGCCACATACGATAAGCTGCTCAAGAAGACAAGTGTCAGGTCCCTTTCAAAGTTCACATTCACGTAACTACATAAAGAATTTCTCTCTATTTTCTTCAGAAATCCCAACCTCTAATACTTTTTATACCATAATAACTAGGGGCCAACAGGACAAGATTGTTAAATTTAAGCTTTGATGCCTAAACCCTACAATCCAAACTAACTCCTTGAGCAAAAACTTCCACGGGAAAGCAAAACAAAGATCATCCATAAATAAACTATTACAGGAAGAACGGTACCCAAAACACAGTAACATATTTCACATATCCCATTTATGTGTGTATTCGTCTATACCACCAATATAACTCCAATGAAGTTTAGTCCCTTTATGAAGAAAAACAGTTGAAAAGAAGGAGATACAGTCATCAGACTTGAAATGCCCATCCACATTTTTATCTGTAATTCTTCAAGTGTTGGTTCCAAGACTACTTCTGATGATCATGATAAATGGAATTTTTGCTCCAGAATAGCTCAAGCTAATGAGATGCATTTAATATATCTTTTAAAATTGTATTTATGTTTCAAAACATCTCAAACAAGACAACACGATCCAGATTTGCATCTTAAAGGGAACAGTTTATATGATTCAGTGACCTCTATATGCTCTTTCCCTAAAGAGTTGAATGTAACTGGGTCCTAAGGCCTTGAAACACAGCACCCTGCAGGGTTGACAGAGCAATTATAGAATTTCAAATGCAAAAGATACAACAGAATAATTTCAATGTGCTTCTTGCTTAAATGCAGCAGCTTGGACAAGAGCAAGTAAGGACAGGAGAGGAGTCTTACATGACAGACTCTCAGGTGGCACAACAAAACCAAGGGAAAAAATTATGACCATTTTCCCTGTAAATCCAACTCATTTTAAGATGTTTCCTCCTAGTAGAAGGGACAAGGACCTTTTGTACAAGCACGCCTGCAGAGGACTTTGGAAATGCTTAAAAAAAATGATGTACGTATTTCGTGTTTCCTCATTGAGTGGGCTCATGGAACACCATCTGGGGCCAATTACAGGCTCACCATAATAATCACTGCCAAAGAATTAATCCATTTTTATCCCATACAGTTTACATATTCAAACAGCAGTACAAAACCACTTGGAAAAAAATCTTATCGATTTCAGTAACCTAGAAAAGGGAGCTTCAGCAGGAGCCTGGCTGTACTGCTCTCATCCCTGCTGCAGCTGAAAAACACAATGATGCACAAGAGCAAGCTAGTTTTATTAGCCCAGGCAATGGGACACAGTCATAGTATGTCTTATTCCCATAAAAATATCTGTTGCTTTAGAGGAGTTTTTATAGCAGCCAGCAAGTGTGCACTCCATGACTGTCTTCAAAGAGAGACCATCACTCACCAAAAAGGGAACACTCAGACAGGATGACTGCCAAAAACCTATTTTCTCTTCAAATATCTGCAACATAGCACCACTATTCGCAGTGTGCTCATGTTCCAATTCTGCATTTCCAAAAATCAGCACGCTGGCAGCAGAAAAAAATACTTCAAGGAGTCAAGCTTATGAAAAAAAATCATCTTATTTTTTGAATGCAAACTTTGTGGGTAGTGATGTTAAATCATTATTTGCACTTTAAAACATAATCATCATTCAGCACTTAGGTTTAAATATGTGAAAAGCTTTCTTTAAACAGAACAACTGGGAGAAGACACTCATCCTTGCACCACACAACTCACTGCAGCTCCATCAGCATTTACTTCATCTTCTCATTGAGAGACTACTTATTTCCACAAATTCCAAAACGAGTCTCCCAACCCTTTTGTTCCCTCCCTATCTAGAACTATGCCCTCAACTTTAACACTCACAGATGTCTCTTCAGAAAACTGACTGGTGCCATTAAGCCAGAACGAATTTTTCTAAGATAGCTTGAACAGATTCCCAGTTACAATGACAGTTACGTCAGCATGAACATACACACCCACCAATTTAACCTCGTATCTCCTGTTAAATTGAATCAACCTTCTGAAAGTGCCAACACCTCAGAGAGGTCAAGATGATGCCTATCATGTCAGCAATTTAACTTCTCATTTTTGTAACAAGGAACCTCATTAATCTAACTGATGTCATAATGATAAAAAAAAAATCATTTGTCATCACACTGTCTTCATATATCCAAAACAAAGGCAAATAAATTACTGTTCTTCTAGAAAAAGATAGGAAAAATGAAAAGAGCAAATGTTAAAAAAAAGAGGTCATCTTCAATAAGCATGAAATTAAGCAGCACCCAAAATTCCAGATAAGGTTTCAGGCACTGTAGAAAATTTCTGCATCACAGCACTGCACAGCTATTTGGGTATGCTTAAAGCCCTCTGTGCTTCAAGAAAATAAAATCATTTTTGCTGTGCTCATTCTAATACAGACTTTGGCATAAATCCCCAAACTCTTGCTTCTTCTGACTATGATTTTCTGACAAAAAATTGCCTCAATAATTTTATCATCTGCCCTTGAGCCTGTTTGTTTTAAGTCTCAACAACCTGGGGCACTATGAACCAGCTTGAGCAAGTCATCCAAATGATTTTTTTTCAGTTCCTTCCAACCTTTTGGATGTCAACAGAGCAGGACAGAAGAGAAGCAGGCAAGAACCAAAAGAGATAGTATAGCTGAATGGCTGCTGTGTGAATTCAGGACTTCCCTGTTCTGTTTGGGCTGTTAACTGGCTGATGAGCAAGTGCACAGCTCCAAACCAGGCACAGCCTGTGTCGTCTCTTGCCCTACCATCCATCATGGCAAACACACAAAGTTTGCCTTCATAAAGCAAAACTCTCAGTGGTCAAAACCATTTTATAAGCAAAGCTTTCTTTTTCCAGTAAAACAATGCAAAACTGGGCTCTAACTGGTTCCAGCCATCTCCGAGAGACAATCCTCCACTTGCACGAGCAATCCAGAAACGGTCAAAGGCTGCAGGTTAAGTATCTGATAACAGTGGAGTGGTACATTCTGTACCTATTATGAAGATTATCATTACTTTATTCTAAACACAGCCTGTCTTTCAGAGAACAGTCAGGACTTCAAAGACTGTGCTACACAAGCCAAGAATTTGCAGAACATTTCAGATTTCAAGCTCCTAAACACCCAATTAAACACAAGCAATGTTGGACCTTCATTTGAACAAATAATTTTGCTTCATGATGCCTTCCAGTATTTCAGAATTTGCAGAAGGAGAAATTTCTAGTTACTTACAGCACATGATACAATGTCATACAGTTTTTTGCAAAAGGAGGGGGGGAAGAATTATTTTGAAATTAAATAGTTACTAAGAAAGGCCCCAAATTAACATTCTAATGAGACATTTTTGACAAAAGTTATAGAAAACACACATCTGCAGTTATACCTTAAAGCTCTTAAAATGTAACCTCTTAATATTTGTAAACTACTCTTATATTGTTTCAAAGATGCAGTAACCTTGGGCAAGACAGGAAGCCAGATAAAAGAATTAGCAAGAGGAAAAATCCTCTCCCCGCAATGGAAAATTTTCATCTCTTCAAGCAAGGCAGAGATGCTCAGCCGGACCTGCGTTGCCTGGAGACCAACCGCAGTTTCTTGCCAACAGGGACGAGCTCAGCATCAGCAAATTCAACAGCTGATAAGTGGATGAGCTGAATGAGAGGCAGCAAGTTTTTTCCACACATCAGTGTAAAAACCTGACAGCTTTCAGATAATGGTTCTAGCCCATGCTCACTAGAAAAACAAGAATTATTGTGAACGTTAAATGTCAGCTTAAGAAAGCTTCAAGCTCCGTCGTACTTGGCTCTTATCCCTACATGCAGTAAAGAGCACATCCAAGTTAAAATTTTTAGTTGCACCTCGATTTCTGCCCTCTCCATCTTTTGATGCAGTATCAAAACTTTTGGAATATGTTCTACCCATTCAACGAGTTCTCAGTCTAAGCACTGGTGCAGAAATATTAAGAAAACCAGTGAACTACATCAAAAAGGAAGAAGCTACAGTTTGGCTTAGCTTTAAAAGCCACACCAAATCTTGTTTCACTTCAAAACCCAGCCTTTGCCCCCAGCCTTTCTCACCTAAAGTGCAGCTCCCTGGGCAGGCCTGCATCAGATGTATTACAGAGGAGACACTTGTTTTGCCTATTCTGGATCTGGACCTCAGATCCCAGCCTCAGGCAGGCATGGACAAGGCTGCAGGAGCAGCACTCTTGACCTCTCAAAGAAACACCTCGGCTGTCTCTCAGTCTCCAAACCATCAGATAAGAATTGTTGGAAAGAACTGATATTTAATACCAGTTACTCCAGAATTTCCCCAGATCTTATCTAATTCAACTCACTGAACATATTCAGACAGTAAAGAATTAAGATATTTAAAAGAATGACTTCTATTTAATTTATCCCTTCCGATAAATTCCATGAGTAAAGTAGGTCTTCCACCACCGACCTGGCAGCACACACTTCCCTGCCTCCACCCTATGCCTAAAACAAAAGGGCAGACATTTGTGTATCACCACTGCTGACAAAGACACTCTCAGTGCCTCGAGGTTTGTACCCTTCCCCTACCCTTCAAAAGAAAAATCATCTCCAAAATAGCCTCACACTCCCCAGCTGACCGGAGAACAACTAAAGTACTACCATACCAGTGACCTGGATGGAAGCCCATCCACTGACAGGCAGCAAAGAGGTTCTTTCTTTAACATCTTTTCTCATCCTGGTTTTTCCCAACCTCATGCCTAACAAATCCAAAGTCCTCTTTGCAAGCAACTGGTAGGGAAAGAATTTTTGAGAGCACAAAGCGCAGCATTCATATGACTGACCACCATCCAGTTTTCCAGTTGCTTCCCAAATTACCACACCACATGGTTATGACAGCTCTGATCCACCTTTCCTCAAGAAGAAACAGCAACAGCTTACATTGCTTCTATGACCAAAGTACCACAGATAAGCTAACAAACCGTTACTTCAGAAAGGTATAAATTGCAAAGACAGCAAAGGCTGAAAAACAGCTTTTCAATCAAACAAATACAAATTTATGAAAAGCTACATGGACAAGTTTAAGGTTTGAAATTTTTCACAAACACATACACGAGTGGCTGTAATCCTTCCCACGGCCCTTAACCAGGAGACACTTCTGAGCACTTAAAAATTATTGTTTTTTGAAGAAACTTTCCTGAATTCTGGCACTTAAATTATTACACTCTTCCTCATTAAGTAATATACTTTAATTAAAAAAAAAACAACAAACTATCTTGAAGATGCCAAATCAGCCAAATGTAAACAAATCAATCAGTCTCTTTTTAAAACACACATGTTTATGTGTGGACGCATGTATACATAAACCCAGTTTCCATTCCTTAATGCTATTGTTAAGCCCTGAAAAAACACAAGTTAATTTCAACTTAAAGACAATTTCAAAACTAGTTTTTATCTTATATATGTTTTTATTATTCTCTAAGCAAAATTAAGAGGAAAGATGCCAATTCTTGGCCAAAATAACCCTGACTTTGTAATTCTCAAGTGTCAAATTTGAACTGTTCTACTCTCACTTCAGTATTACACGTTGAGCAATTACCAATAATACATCATTTGAGTGAAAAGTTAAAGCAAACGTTAATATTCCAGAACTATATATTAAAGCAAAATTCTAATAATAATATTTGACACACAACTGTCCCTTTAGATGTTCATGAGTCTAAAAAAGCACATGGGCACTGAATGAATTTCTAAAACTCCTGAGTATATGGGACAACTAAGGCACGGTATCAAAAGACAAAAAAGAAAAAATACAGCCTTGAAGTGGAGGGCGATTAAATTCCAGCACATATCAGGAAAGATATCAGTGTTAAACACGCATACTTTTCACAGTGGAATTAAGGCCAAGGACATATCAGGGTGTAACTACCAAGAGGTTGTTATTCCATCAACAACGATAACATTTATTTTCTTAAGCTGGATGTCTATTTCCAAAGCCTCAACCTAAGTGTTTTTGTTTAAACGCCTGCAGGTCCCAAGCCACGTTAACAAGGCATTATAAAACCGTGACGCTCGCACCAGTTCCTAACAAGGCATCACCCACCACTCCCATTTGACACGGGAAAAGGGTATCCGTGAGCAGCACGTCCACTTATGCAACACATCCCGCAGCACCCGTTTTTCATTGTGAACTGTTAGCGAAAGTACAACACAGCGGTCAGAGCCGCAGCACACCCATCACCCGGGCGGAACGGGCAGACAACGTCCTGTGATTCAGGGAACCGCTGAGCAAGGGGCGACCACCAGCCCCGGGGTGGGCACATACCAGTGATGCAAGGCAGATATAAGGGATACAGGAGCGGCCGCCCCGCGCCGGGCCCGGCCCAGCCCCAGCCCCGCGACCCCCGCGGGGGGCGCAGGAAGCGCCGGGGACGGGGATGCTCCGCCAGCGCTGCCACCGCTATCCCCCCACCCCCGACCCGCATCCCCGGGGTGTCGCCAGGACAGAGCCCCCCCCTTCCTCCCCACAGAGCCAGGCAATGCCCCGAGGGCGCCGCCGACCATCCCCGCCGGGCAGCCGCCCTCCCCCGCCTCCGCCGGGCCGGGCACCGACCTGCGAGCGGGCGGGGCTGCGTCCTGCACAGGCGGCCCCTCGGCCGCCCCCTCACAACTGCTCCCGAGGGAAGGGGGGGAGGGGGGAGCAGCATCAACGTGCAGGAGAACTCGGGAAGCGGAGCGCACCCGTTACCTGGAGCGGGGCCGGCGCCGGCGGCGGCCTCAGCGCTTTTGTTCCTCAGACGTCAAGATGGCGGCGCGGCGCGTGGCCGGCCCTCCCCGCTCCGGCGGGCCCCGCCCTCCTGCGCGCCTCCCCATTGGCTGGGCCCGCGGCGCCGCGCGCTGATTGGGCGGTCGCCAGCGCCGCTGTTGCCAGGGGAGCCGGGGCAGGGGAACGGCGCCGGGATGCGGAGGCCGGTCAGTTCCGCCCGGCCCGGCCCGGCCCTTCCACGGGAAACGCGGGGAAACGCCGGCTAGAGAGCGGGACCGCGGAGAGAAGCGGGACCACGGGAAAAAGCAGCTCCTCCGTGTCGGTCCTTCCGCCCGAGCGGGCCCGCCGGGCACCCTCTCTTGTAACCAAGCTTGGAGCCACCACCCAGCACCCACAGGCAGGAGGCAGCCCCGTACACCTCCCTGACCTGTGGGTTATTACGGCTCCCTGACCTGTGGGTAACACCTCCTCAGGCCGCAGCAGCCATGGACAAAGCTCTCAGTCACTTCCCCTCAGTGCCTGCTTGGAAACCATTTCTCTGCTGGCGTGTGACACGTTCGGACGTGACCAGGGCACTTCCATCACTCGCCCCGTTGAGGAGGCAGAAGAAGAACATCTGAGCATCCCTTGAAGCTCAGAGGGCTGTGTGACTGAGGTCACTGTTCATCCCATGCTTCTGTTTCTATTCCACCAAAACTCTCACTTAGGCAAAAGCAGCCCAAAATCTTGGAAGCTCCCTCCACTCGGCTTTACCCTGGATGACTTCTCCGAGCCAGTGTCTGATGTCTGAAATGCAATCGCAGTTATGAAGGTTTGCATGCAAGGCCATGAACTGCGGGTAACAATGGAGCCACCACCATTGTAAGAAAAAAAGACTGAATAATGAGATTATCGCAGTTTAAATTACTAAGCAACAGTTTCTCTGACAATGAACTTAGTAACGCTCTGCCATCTATTTAATCACGCTAATGAGACAGAACAACTCCACTTAGATACAAATTACTCTGCATTTCATTTAAATAAGGGTCAGGGAGCTAAAAGCCACACAAGCCACCACACTTCTGCTGTACAGCACATCCAGCAAAAGACCTCCTTTGTTTCCAGAATGGACCCAGGCTTTCTGGCCATGAGCTGCCAAGGCAGGGCTGCACAGGGCATCTTGCTCAAACCTCCCACCTCCGCTACCCCAGCTGCCTGTGCGTGGGCCCAGAGCCTCTCTGCCTTGGGAACAGCTCCTTGGTTTGGAGAGGTGAGCACTGGTTTACCAAACAGATTCAGAGGGCAAGAGATCTCTGATTTCTCTTTGTTCTAAAGTAAAAGCATGCACAGTCTCTTGTGTAAGAAACAATTATATCCCCCAGTTCTCACTGCTTAAAATATGCCTCTTGTTCATCAGGCTGACAGTCAAAGCCAAGCAGCACGGCTTGTTGAGAGTCTTCTCATTTATCTGGCTGGCGCCATCATGATCATCTTAATATAAAAATCTGGTTTAGTATGTGTCTCTCATCATTTAAAACTGATGACTTCCCTTGGATATTTAAAAATTTTGTTTCAAATCCATGCTTCTTGGGCTGAAGCTGGTCGTGAGAGAGCAGGTCTGTAATAAACTGAAGAAAATTGACTGGCAGTTGCAACTGGATTATTCACACATGCTAGTAGTCTTAATCTTTATTTGGAAGCCCGGAGCTGGCCCAGGGCTCACATCTGATATATGTTCCCTAGCCACAGGGAGAGGGGAGCTAAGGTGACATCCCATGGGGCCCTTTCCCAGTGGGTGGCTGTGTGATCCCTCCAGAGGCTGGGAATATTCCCACATGCTCACAGCAGCATTAGGTTTCCTCAAGCCTCACTCCTTGCTGCACTTCTTTCCGTTCCTCTTAATTAGCGGGGGAGTAATTCCAGGCTATGCGAGTCATTCAGCATCTCCTCCCTCCTCCATGATCAGCTTCCCCAGTACAGTTCATGCCTGTAATGTCAGCCTCGAGCTCAGCTTGGCAAGCCTTTCATTCCTGCACTGCTCTTGCCTGCACATGGCTCCTACTCACTTCCTAAACTTCCAGTCCCCCATCCCATCGGCTCTAGGATGAACCTCCAGCTAGCTGTGCTCCCAGACACGCAAGGCAGGCTGATCCTCTGGCTGCATGGCTGTCCAGGTGACCCCACAGCACTTCTTGAGAGCATTTCACTCTGAGCAATGGCGTGAGGCCGGTATAAGGTGCTTTAGCTGCAGGAGCTACTGCAACAGCAACACTGCTCAACCCTCCTCAACCCTCCTCAACCCTCCTCCTCACCAAGACAAAGGAGATGAAGCGTTTAAGCCAGTGAGGATCTGCTCATGCAGGCAGTTTCTCCCACTGCCAAAACCATTCACAAAATAAACAGGCAACAAACATTCCAGTTCCACAAACACCTTCCTCTTCCTTGTGTACACTATGTGTGTGTATATATATACACATATGTACAATTTTTAAGAGCTGGTGAAAAGTGCCAGACTGACAGTTTAAAAGAAAAAGCACTTCCTGTTATTTACAAAGCTGGTACAATATAGGAAGCAGCAGAACAAACTTCTCCCTCTTGCACTGTCAACTCCACAATCCAGAGGAAACACCCTTGAGCATAAAGTTAATGCATATTCCTATTTTTCATCTTCCCTGCTAAGGACCTAAGAATTGAACTTTTTACAGGGAGCAGAGAACTGTTATGAAGTTCCCTAATTCAGTATTATTCTTACCATGTGAGGGTTGCAAAATTTCATTTATATGAAAACCAAGACCCTGAATCAAAAAAATGTAACCCTCCCCAAAACTCAGCCACTTCTCACCAACCCAGTTCCAACACAATACAATGTTCTAACTGCATATTCCTCACCCACAATCTTAATCCCATGCTCTGTCTGCGTGGTGTGGTCTGTGCCATTTTTACATGCCTGTGGTAGTTCAAATTAATGCACATGGTTTTAGTTATTATTTACTTACAAAACATTTCATCAGAGGATGTGTCTGATTCAGGACTCAAAAAGTCAGGCCACTAAAGGAGGACAGCACTTAATGAAGCAGCAGGAAAATGTCATGCTTTAAAGGTGTCTTGCACGGAAATAGATTCCATGCTCTATCCTCAGTCCTCCCAAGGTCACAAATAATAATTAGGAGAGTGGAGCTGGAAGAAGGAGGATAGGAATGGGGATTTTTTGAGCAGGGCAGCAGCAAAGCCCCATCAATTCAGTCACCTGCCAGGCAGCCCTCTCCCTTGCCAGGCACTTTCTATTACTCCTGAGCAATTACATACTGATGAATGAGTCACAGAAGAAAAACACAACTGGACTTTGTTTACTGGGGTGCAAGCTCAGCTCTGTGATTTCTCAAGAGCTGCAGAGATGCAGAGCTGGCAGTTTTGCTCCACCAGCCAAGGTGTGAGGGACTGCAGGTGAAGGATCCGTGCTTTCCTGTGAAAGGCTGTGATTAATGGCAAGGGTTTTCTCCACCCCAAGTTCCTTCTACCTGATCTGCCCAGGCCCAGGAACCACAAGCAAAAACATCTGTAACTTATGGTTTAAGGTTTAATTTGTTGTCTGTGCTTCAGGCAAGCAGGGAGCACACGTGAACCATGGTGTGCTGGCAGCGGGGCCAGTGGCAGTGCCCAGTGGGCAGGCTGCTCTCCTGCTGGGAAGGGCTGAGAGCCATGACCTGCACTCAGTGGGTTTTTGCAAGAGCCTTAGACTGGCTATGTGTGCCTGTGTCTGGCTGTCCGGGCAAGAGGAAGGAGAGCAATCAGAAAAGACAGCAGCAACAAAGAGCTGCCTCTGAACCAGCCACACATGCAAACTCCCATGCCCATCCTCGGAGATCTTCAGCCTCTTCAGAAACCAAGGACTATTGCCAGATCCCCTCTTGGGGGTCCTGGATGAGTCCCCCAGCTACAGAAAGCCTGCCTTGCCCACTCAGCCATATGGAGCCCTGGAGACAGTGTCCATGGGCTGCTAACGGAGATCCGGCTTGGGCTCCTGACAACAAAATGCCAGTTACAGCTGTGTCCCCTTCACCAGTCCTGTCTGCTGAGGCTGTAGCTTTCCAGCAGGACACTCTTACCTAGTGATCTGCTGCCATGGCAGAATTCATGTGCTATTGTAGGATAAACCAGCTTGCCAAAAAACACACGAGAAGAACAATACATAGATAGCAAGTGCCCAAAGGTTAGGAGAGGCCAGAGGTTTTTTTCCATACAATCTTTTCTAAGTTTTTCTGGTGGGCAAGGCAGAGCCTTTAAATTCCCAGGCAGGACCCCAGCTCCTGGTGTGCACTGGTAACACTGGAGGTATGCATCTGTGGCTGCCCTGGCACAGTGGCATCACTCACACATAGTCTTCCGGCACTTCTGGAAAAGTGTGCTGGGAATCTGTCAGGCTAGTGGGGACTGTGTTTGGGCAGCAGACTTTGCAGCCAGAGTCAAAACCCAAATCCACAGGTTTGGGTCAGCCCCTTGCTCCTGCCTCGTGTGTCAGTGCTGCTGTGCTCCATGGGTGACCGTCTCAGCTGCCACTGAAGCCAGAAAGAGCCAGCAGTTTCCATTTCCTCTTGCGTTCCTAGGCTGAAGCAGTGCCATCCCCCAGTGCCTCACCTCCTGCAGCTTTGCCAGCTCATTCTGCTCGTTCTCAGCCTCCCTTGGGCACTCCTTGGTGAATAAATCCCCCTGTTTCTTTCCCTATCCCATAGGGCCAGGCAGCAGCACAAGGGCCATTCTAGCAGGCTAGAATAATGATCTCCTTTTGTGTTATTATTTGTGGAACAATTATGTTTATCATGGTGGTGCTTAGGGCCAGACCTGTGTCCAGGATTATGCTTTCTACTTCAGGCTTTGCCCAGAGACCCTTGGTCTTGGTTGGGGCACCCAGACCTGTGACACTGCTCTCTGCCCTCTATACAGTCACAATTTCATGGCTTTGCCTTCAG